TTGTGAGATCTTTTTTGTACAAATGCGAGATAAACAAGTTTGAACGAGAAGATAAGTAATGTTGTAGAGAAGAGCTAGTTAAGGGAAGGTTGCAAGATACGATTAAAAAGCAGGAAAGGACAATGGTCTTCATGGTTATTCTGTGTGGCTAAGAAGGTAAAACTGTACAAAGGATAGAGGGGAAAAAAAGATGCACACAGGATTGTGAGACAGGAGAACAGATTCTCAATGGAGAGGCAGCATTTTAAGTATAAAAGGACGTGCAAAAGTGTGAGTGTACTTTGCATTTGTGGTTAGAGATCAGAGCTGGAAATACATAGATAAGCATATCCCTTTGGGGACACTTCAGGAAATGCAAACTTCCTGTATCCCTTAAGGAAGTACTAACTTGCTGTATCTCCAGCAATGTCCAGTTATGTGGCTTTGGAAGTGGATATTTTTTGTGGTCTGTTTTCCCCAATTCATAAGACTCATTTCTCTCTTTTACCTTCTTTTTTCTCATGTTAGATTCATCTGTACTTGTTCTGCTTAATGTTGCTATTTAACGATTGTACTGGCACAATATGTCAGAATTCCTTTTTTCCCGTAGGACTGAATTTCTCAAGCCTTCTGTGTGTCAATTGTTTACTCTGCATTTCAGAAGCAGTGAAAACATGTGGCCTCTCAGTTAAAACTGAAGCAGCAGTCTTAAGAGAATGCTCTGTTCAGTGATGATAAACCAAAATCCACATTGCTCACTGTAGACTTGCAATGAATGTTGTTTCTATCTGGGTCAGTATTTGTGTGAATATTTTTGAGTTTGCTCTGAATACAGTACTGCCCTTTTCATGTTATGTTTTCTGGCAACATTTAAGAGTGTCTTGCAGACAAAAATGTTCACTATAAGTTCCACAGGTACTTGTTTACCTTCCTAGACATACCTGTGGTCTGCTCTGCTTCAAATGGAGCAGTGTCACTTGACATTCCAGAATAGCTTCATCTCTCCAGTTCTTCTGAAGTGCTGCACTCTGCGCACTCAGAAAATATTTGCTTCCTTTCCAGGTTTATTTAATGTCTTTTGCTTTTTAATAATGCAGCAACATCAGGAAGGTTCATAAAATCTTCTGTACACATGATCAGGACAGGAGGGAGGTCAAGACCTAAATTGCTCTGATAAATTGCTTCAAAATTACATGCTGGTCACTAATCCTTGTCCCGTGGGCATGTAGAAGTTGTGTGGGTGGTGTTTAAAAGACTTTCTGAGACCATAGAGTGACAGTTCCCTTTGATGTGTGTCAGTGGTAGTAAGCAGATACCACCCAATATAGAAGTATTTTTTTAAAAGCTTGTTATTTGATCAGAACTTTTTGAATTCACCATTCTTCAAATACACTTACCAATTTTACTGTTGCAGAAGAAATGGGGAGAAGTAGTGTCATTTTGAGAGCCTTGGGGGAGAAATGACTTATTTTAGTATTTTTTACAGGCTTTTTAAATTGGAAGACAATGTTTGAGGGAAGTACAGTCACTGTGCAGTACAATCCTCTCACCTGAGATACTCCCCAGAACATTGTCTCTGCTGGAGTCACGTGCACCCCACTGCAAGGAGTAGCTTACATAACTACGATTAAATACGTGAAATACTGAGGCACTGCACTTCCTCAACCTAATTCTGTAGAGAACTAATGTTACCAGGATGTCAAATCACATCTTTCTGATGAGCTGTAGCAGAGCTGACTAACTCATCTCGTAAACAAGTGTCCACAGGTCAGCCTAATAGCATGAGGCATGTGCAGAGTACCAGCCAGCCTCTAGTGCAAGGTATCATTAGGGCAGGATGCAACAAATATTACAAGGACAAAGATCACTGAAAATATTTATAGGAGATACCTTCTGTGGTTAGGAGCTGAAAGCTGCAGGCAGTATTTCATTACAAACAGAATCTGATCTTTTCTTTCTAGAAAGGTGGTTGGGGATTTTTTTTTTTTTTTCTTTTTTGGTTTTGTGGGGTTTTTTTTGTATGTTTGGTTGCTTTTTTTGTTGGTGGGTTGTTTTGTTTGGTTTTTTTTTAATATTTAAAAAGAAGAACTATACATATATATCTAAACAACAATCTAAGCATGCTGTTAACTAGGACAGTCCCAGTCTCAACCTTGGCTTGGTTGGTCCTGTTGCTTTTCCTCTCCCACCTCCCCAAACAATTAAAATAGCTCTTTGGATGAGAATAATGAAAACGTGCCTTCAAATGCTGTATATGCCCTAAAACACAAGAAAGCAACAGCAGTGATATGTCAACTCAAACAGAAACTCAACTTGCCAGCCATCTACGAAAGCCTCTTTCATGCCCTCATCACTGTGGGAAGCATTCTGCATGATCTTCTCCTGGACCTTTGCCTGAGGGGAGGGTGCTTCTCAGTGTGCCTGAAAGATCACTAGATTTCGGTGCTGTAGGAGCAGAAGGAGAGGATGTTTCAGAATCCTTCACCCTGTGAAAACTCAGTAACACCCTCATAATTAGTGAGTGTGTGCTGCCCACAAAGAGAGAGAGACACTGGAGGGGGAGAAATGATCTCTGGCCGATGCTCTTTCAAAGTATTTAGCAATGGTAGCTGTATTTAAGTAGCTACTTAGGAACAGAAGTTGATGTGTTCCAACAACCAATTCTCACCTTTATTCAAGAAAGCAAAAAAATAAAAGACCTGTTCCACAAAGCTGCAGAAAATATCTGCTGAATTTAGTGAACTTTAAATTTGGGCTACCACTTTTTTGGTCACTTGTTCTTGCAGAAGTCCCACAAAATAAATTTCTATGCTATTTCATTAGCTAGCTGCTCATTTCCCAACAACTGTTTTTTGTCTTGGCCAAAGTATTAGCCAACAGAGCTCTAAAACAATATTCTTCTGAAGATAAATGTTTTCTTTTTTGTTGGTGGGGTTTTGGGGGTGCAGGCTGTTACTGAATAGACAGCGAAAGATCCTACTTATTAATTGCATGTAATCATGTTTTCATTAAACTGTCTCAGGAGAGGCATGGAAAAGTGGTTCTTAAAGTGTAGTACGGCTATAATCAGTTGTGCTAGATTCTCTGTTGGCTTCTATTTAAGGGATATTGTCTTAACCCTTTAAAAAAACAAAACCAATAAAACCCCCAAACAACCTTTACCCCCCCCAAAAAACCAACAAACCAAACAACGACACCCCCCCTCCCCCATCCACAAAAACAACCCTCCACCACATTTTCTAACCCCATTTCAGCATGATCCCAGTGCTGTAACCATTTAGGGTGGTTTACAAAGGGAATCAGAAAACATTTCAGAGCCACGGTTACAGGAACTAAATAAGCAATAGGCACTTGAACTAAGACAACTTTAACACCACCAAAGCACTGATGTTTTCCAACTTTGTTCTCTGAACTTAGTGCAGCGTTTCATTCTCTCTTTACCATAATCAAAATTTGATGTGCATTCTTTCTTAAATGGCATCTGATGTGGTATCTCTCTTCAGCTCTTTGTGGTTTCCTGTTTTTCATACACAGATGAAAGTATCTGCTGAGATCTATTAAACTTCTTATTTTATCATTTGACTTTCTCATTATAAGTCTCCAAGTAACAAGTAGATTTCTTTGCACTTATAAATGTAGTGAATGCCTGATGTGGTAGATATACAGGAGCCTGTCTTTAGTGTTGTTCTTCAAATTACTACTTGTTTTAAGTCGTGTTAAGTGCATAATATTTATTCTGCAGCAGCAGCTTAATATAGTCAGATACTTAATACAGTCAGGTGGTCTCGTCCCCCCACTCCCTGTACTGTACTACCAAGTAATATACATTTCCACATAAGAAAATAGTTAGGAAAACTGGAATAAAATATTTTGGCTCTTAGAAAAATAAGGCAATGTGAACGAATAAAAACTGCAAAAAATATTGATGAATGTGAGACCTGTTCCTTTTGTCATTTTAGCAGTTACTAGCAAAATACTACTATGAATGCGTGAGATCTTGTCAAGTCCTGAAAATATTGGTTAATAGTTACTTGTTGGTTATATTTTGGTTAATTAAAATGTTTTAAAAATATCACAGAATCTGCTCTCAATGTGAAGCAGAACTTTTTCAAGAGAAGGTGTTATGGCTTTGCAAAATTTGGATTTGACCCCAATGACATGAGAAGAATAATTGCTATTATTGAACAACTTCTTATAGTTTTGAGTAATAAAATTGAGCATTTTCAAGTGATCATTCTCATGACAGATTCCACATGCAAACACTTGGTTGGCAAAATAACTGATCTGCATTATCTCAGACTATGTAAATAGAAATTGAATTTGACAGAACATGGGTTTGTGTTAGAGAAGATAATTTTAATTTCTTTCTATTCTGATTTTCCATCTTTTCCCACATTCACTACTGTCTGAAAATACTCCCCATGTATATGTGAAGGTGAGTATCTGAGAAGGCATGTCTTCTAATACTCATGTAGCTGTTACGGGCTGTGATAGGCCTTGGATTGGTATCAGCAGTATCTGGTTGGTTGCTGTTGTGTTACTTGACCAGTGTTTGAGGTTTAGCTATTAAAAAATGTTATCACAGTAGATACTAAATTGATGCTTACCATTCTGAGAAGAGAGGCTGTGAAGAAAGGAGCATTTTACCAAGCACAGAGCTGGTCCTTTACATTATCTCTGAGAGGGTGTGAGTTTGGTTTCTACCTGCTTGGTAGGATATTTCAGTTTCTGCGGTGGTGTTTTTATTGCCCTCCTAAGGAAGCTTGAATATTTATAATTGTAAAATAAATGACACTTTGTTTGACCATGCTTAAAGGAAGGTAAACTGTTCTTTCATTTACTTAGGCTGCTTTCAGAAAACTTGGGGATTTTGTTGTGTGTTGTTGGGATTTGGGGTTTTTTTGTGTGTCTTTAGAGAAACCAAATTAATGTGCCACTTCTGAAAAGTTCAGTTATGATGTTTAAAGTATCATCTTAAATATGTGGGTTTATTATATTTATTATTTCCACCCCTCTCACAGAACTATAGTGCCATGGAAAGTGTTCAGGCAGTGCCTTCATGAAGTTCATCAGATAAGCTCTGGTTTGGAAGCAATGGCTCTTAAATCAACTATTGATTTGACCTGCAATGACTACATTTCGATTTTTGAATTTGATATCTTCACTAGGTTATTTCAGGTAAGATTTGAAAATTGTAGATACCTGTATGAATATGAGAAGCTTCGTGCCCTGAGGCAAGTACTTACGGGCCAAGGAGGCAGATTTTTTTTTAAAAATTGAATTAACTGAAACAATATAATTCAGAAATAAAGTGTGCATTTCTTTTAGTCCTTCAGAGTTGTTTGGGGCATCAACACCTACATCTGAAAAAGTAAAAACATTCAGCAATATCCACTTCATTTCTGCACATACTTAGCATGGTTACAGTATCTTTGCTCCCTGCTTACTTATTTTTCATTATTCTTAAATGCATTCCTAGAAATGCTGACCTGAAGGTACTTAGATAAGTTTTACTCATGTTTTCATTGTGCTTTCTTATCTGTATATACTTACAAGAAATGTATCTACAAACACATAAGGAAAGTTGAATGTGACTTTTTTTGTAGGCTAAATGTAGGTCTAACCTTTCCGTATGAACATTTCATTGCCATTAAGGGATTATCTTTGGGAATAGTATTAATTGTATAATCGTTACTAGGTAATGCTTACCTGAAATAAGCTTGTATGTATGTTACATGCCTCTGTTAACCTTGTGTCCCCTCTACAGAACATACATGAAGTATTTTAGTCAATACAGAAAGCTGTGGTGGTTTGTATCTGTATTAGATGTGTTGACTCTGAATTTGTCACTTCAGATATTTCTTTTGTATGTAGAAATCTGTGAGTTATATAGCCATTTATTTGATTTACTGTCTTTACCCTGTACAGCGATAAACCACAAACTTTGGTCACTTATTAAAACACAGGTTTTGCTGGTTTGAACAAAACTTTAGGGGTTCTTTTTGATGAAATTATAAACTGGAGAATACAGATCATTGTACTTTATGCTGGTTTAGCAAAATTCCTTTATGTGGAGCTTGATATGATCTTTTTTCTGTCTGAACATTGCTGCCTTGGGGTCAGTTCCTACTCTGTCAAACTTTCTCTTTTTTTTTTTTTAGTACATGGCAAACTAATACGGTGATCAGGTTAGTAATCAAGCCCAAATCTTGATCTCAGACTTGCCTGCAAAACGTCTGAGGCTCATTGGCTGCAACATACATCACTATGAAATGCATTTATTTAAGATGGTTTCTGTAGGATTTATTCCCCCACCCCTAAGCATCTTACAAATTTGTTTTTTTGTTTTGTTTTCTTTTAATCTGTACATCAAATATAAAATTAAATGAGAAGTCATTGCTTTGAGAAATAAGTCTGTTCTGACCCTGTGTGGGGTCCTATAGGCTGAACTGAACATCAGGACAGAAGCCACAAATGAGATTTATTTTCCTTGCTATGTAAGCCAATGAATATCTGCATTAGCTTCATTGTGAGGCTGTTGCTGGTTTGATTCATTGCCATGACTTGTGCTAGAAAAAGGGTGTCAGCAGGACTGATACATGCGAGGAGAGAAGACTGGTTAGGATTAACTTTTAATTTAACAAAGAAGCAGAGAGAGAATTTTTGCCAAACAGATTACTAACTGGTGCAAAGCTGCGTAACTGTTGAAGTGAACTTGCACTGAACTTGGTCTGAGAACCTCTCCCAGAGGTTACATTTTACTTCTCTAGTTTTTAAACAGCTTCTGTAACTATGTGCGCATACACCCACGGAGAGAAGATCCCAATTGTTTTAAGTAATCGGAATACTGTTTTGCCAGCTGTGGGTTTCATTACAGAAAAGCTACGTTTATAGTGATGCTTACTCACAGATGGAGGCAAGGCTACTTTTTACAAAGATCCTGTAAAAGTGAAGTTGCTCCCCCTGCCTCCCCACTGTATGCATGCACAGCTCTTAGTGCTGGGTTCTCGAAGTTAGGGCAAACATGCAGAGACAATTTCTTGTCTCTTCAGATGCTAGCAGTGAACACTTAATATGCTAGGAATTGCTAGCTATTCCAATGCTAGGAACTGGTATTAATCTACCACTAAAAAACACCATTTACAGTAAGGGACTGTTCTGTATTCTTCAGAGTGATAGCATATCAGGCACATCTCACTGAGTTCTCTGAAGCATTTGCTTTTCAAGTCAGCAATGGCTGTTGTGAAGAGCTGTCAGTATTCGTTTTGTTTCTGGCTCTAATACCATTATGGTAACCGAAGAAATCAAGTAGAGAATAAGAAAAGGAATGACATCTCAAATTACTGGCCTTGTTAGGCTTCATTTAATAGTGTTACTTATCATTAACTATGAAAGTGCCTCAGGACCTCTCAAGAATGGGCTTATTTGTGGTTTTTATTAAACCATCAATGGAGCCATACTCTCTAGGTTTGAACTACACATGATGTTTAATGTTCTGTGTAGCCACAGAGTGGAGATTCCTTAAATTTAAGGTGTTCAAAATCTTTATCCAAAAATTTACACTTGATGTTCTTGGAATAATTCTTTTGCAGGAACCGTTGTAGCAAAGCTTGGATATAGTACAGTCTTTTGTAGTATTTAGACCTTAACCAAAACTGTGCAGTTTTCAGCTGAAGCTGAGCCACTCTAAGTCTCTCTGACAAACTAACTTGAGTTTCATTAGAAATATGTAACTACCTGGCTGCATCTGTTTGTTTGTCTTCTCTTTTTAGCCATGGGGTTCAATCTTAAGGAACTGGAACTTCTTAGCTGTAACACATCCTGGATATATGGCATTCCTCACATATGATGAAGTGAAAGCAAGGTTGCAAAAATACAGCACTAAGCCTGGGAGGTAAGAGGTTTTGCTGGTTAATGCTTTCCAAATAAACTTGCTGTCTCAGAAGCTACATAATTATTCTAGGTTCATACTTACAAATTGCGTGGTACTTACACTCCCTGAAATATTGAAGGAGTGAATTTTTGAACTTTTGGCTTTTTGGTTGTTTTTTTTCCTGACAGTAAATCAGAGTAGTAGTAGGTTTTGGGTTTTTTTTATACTAGTGATTTTATTTCTATCAAGAGGCATTTTTAAACATGGTTTAATACTGAAGCTCTGAACTCCACATTCAAAAAAATGCAGACCTTTTAGATGTTAAGAGATAGAAATTTTTGTAACCATGAAACTATGTAATCATAATTCTTCTACAATGCTAGGAAGCAAAAGAAAAAAAAAAGAAATTAGCACGCAGAAGTCTAAGTAAGTACAAATAAACAAAACAAAAAAAAAACAATGAAATTCCATTGCTTTTCCTTCCTTCTGAATTAGTTACAACAAGCAAGGCATTCTTGAAAAGCATATTAGGAAATATAATTTTCTTTTCAAAATTTGTGTTGAATTGTTGCTTAATAGTAAAGTAAAAATCATTTTACGTCTTCCATGGTAACACACTTAAATTATTAATTTAATCAGTGCTTATGTGCTCCTTTTATGTTCCTTTTTTGTTTTTCTTCACCAGTAATGATTCTGTATCACAAAATGCCTCTAGAAAAGGAATCTGTCAGATTAAATATCATGACATGTATTGGTTTTGAATAACTTCTGTGTGGTCCTATGTATACTGAATAATTGAAACTCACCTTTCACCATTTATGCCACTTCTTTTGTCCTTTTTTTTTTTTTTTTGTCACTCAGGAGAAATAAAAATTTATTAGTGTATTTAATCCTGTATTAGTTAACTTTTATTTTGACAGTTTTACCCTTCAGGTACGAAGCTTTTTTCTCTAATTTCTAGTAGTCTTAACTTTGCTACAGGATCACGTTTACATAGTTAAAAGTGCATCATTTTGAAACCTATTAGAAAATCTAGCTATACTTATGTTCTGTACTTTGTTTCTTTTGATTTTTAGCAAACAATACATTGTATCTTGTTAAGTTACCATATGGAGCAAGTGTATATATGCACAAGTATCCTGTGGGTCCAGTAGGGTCCACACTGATTTTTAGCTTGGCATTCATAAACACTGATATGGGAATCAGATAACTAGGTTGATTTTAAGAGTGTTTGCTATATTTAGCATTTTCTCTATTATTGATTCTGATTCTGTGATTATAAAAGAGAAGTGATAGAGAAATTATCTAAAGTTACCTTTATGTTCCTTGTATATGGAGAGTTACTTTTAAGATAGCTTTCTATTGAATATCAGAAAATTACTTTCTGAATGGCTTAGGTGAAATACTGGAGTGTGGAAGAGGAGATATGAAGTGAAATTGCTTTTTTAATCTTGGAAATTACAAGATTCTGTTCAAATGAATAGAATTCATTACTACTTCAGTGTAATGTTTGCCATATTAAAGGTTGTAAGAGCTATGCCAAACTTCAGGGGGGGTAAGTTTTCTCATTTTAAACAGTTTGGAAGGAAATAAATAACTGATGCATAATTAAGAAAAGCTGCTCTTTCTAATAAACAAATGAAGTTTGTGGTATTTCACTGTGGGATGCTTTTCTAAGTGATGTTCTTGCATATAAGGTGGTGTCTGACATGAATCGGACTACAGTTTTTAGTAAGAAAAGCTAAACCTGCCCCATACTGTTGCCTATAATCTTCCTTTTCCTCCTTCTGTGCTCTCTTGTCTACATTATGTATACTTCCAGCTACCACCTGTAATATATGGAACTGTGTAAGTTCCAAGACTGTTTAGGCTGGTATTATCTGATATTTTTTGAGGTGGAAGTGATATTTTTTTCTGTCCTGTTCACCTCCTTTACACACAAAATTAACATCACAGCTAGAGCAGGTTTTATTATTTATCATTCACATTTCTGTTGCACCTAAAAATGTTGTAGATTTCCTCTTCGTTCATTGAGGCTACTGGCCTGTGTATGCACAATAGGTATATGTTGTAGCTATAGAGATTTGATAACATAGTACACTGTTCTTGGAAAAGTTTATGACGTGTCTAAATGTATATAATAAGACTATTCACAGTGAACGTGAAGCTTTGAGAACTGCTAATGTTATCTTATTTCTGCCTATAAGGAACTCGCAGTGTAAAAGGTGCGGGTTTATTTGAGGTTACACAAAGACCAAGTGGCAAAATTGGGAATCTGACCAAAATCTTCAGAGACCTAATTCAGTGTCTTCACCATAGGATACCCTTGCTTTCTTCACTGTTTTGTTGAACTCTGATTAACACTGACTTTTTATTCGTCCTGGTTTTATCAAGCTACATTTTCAGACTGAGTTGCACTCGCTTGGGACAGTGGGCCATTGGATATGTGACTGGTGATGGGAACATACTGCAGACCATACCTCACAATAAGCCTCTGTTTCAAGCTTTGATTGATGGCAGCCGGGAAGGATTGTGAGTACAAATTCCTATAAGATACCTTTAGATATGAAATCCTGATATCCTTGTTCTTCTAATGCTTATATGGTTATATATTAAAGATCTTTAAAACAAAGGATCTGGATATGGTGTCTAGCATTCCTTTGAAGTTTAAGGACTGTCCCTTTTATTCATTTGAAAAACACTTGTTTGCAGGTAACTTCATTAACCAAAGTTAATGAAAGTTAACCAAAGCCATGACTCATAGCAGGTAAATTCCAGGAGAAAATAAAATCGGGCAGCTGTCACATTGATTCCTCCCTTCTGCCCCCTCCACCTCCCCCACCCCGCTCCCATAAGAGTCCCAAATGCACTTAAGCTTATTGAACAATTACTACTACCAGTTACTCATATGTCTAACTCTGGACAATAATTTGAAAGCTATGTAATTGCTTTTTTATATGTTGTACAGCCAGAACGTTTTCCAGGTTCTAATAGTTTATTGAAGAGATTTATAATTCTAAGAGTCTAAGCTTATATGGAGAAGTAGTACCTTTTACTAGGTTGGCTGAAGTAACAGACGAATTTTGGTCGTCAGTCTTTTCACTGGGATACATGTTTTGATATATCCACATGATCATAATGGGGGGGGGGGAAGAAATGGGGAGGGAGAACTGATCAGTCCTTAAGAAAAGATTGAGAAACCCTTTACAATCTTGCAGTTTTTCCCAGTCCTGCACAGTCCAGTAATGTTTTCCAGGTATGATGATTTCATACCTGTGATAAAAACCACACTTACGGTAGTGTTTCTACTTGGCAAAAACTGAGCAAACAAAAACTAGAACTGAGAATATTTATTCAGAGTGTAGGTTTTGTACCCTATGTAAATATAACTTTCTCACAGTGTGACTTAACAAAATGACTCTCAAGTTAGAGGTAACATAAATCTGAATATAGAACAACTTAGTGTCTCTGGTTTCTCACAGGATTGAAATGCCTGTATTGGTTCTTAAAGTCCATTCTGCATCTTGGGTTCTCAGTGTAGATTCTTGACATAATATACAGATAAACACATATGTAATATTTTTTACATGTATATAATTTTACATGTATCATACTACATGCAACTGTACAAAAATGTTTGTTACCTTCTATTCTACTCCATTACTTGAAATAGTCTATAGAGACATCAAGTGTGATGCTTGCAGTGGAGACGTCACTATGAGCATGTGCGAGTATAAGCTTACTGTAAATGAAGACCTACAATACTGCTACCCCCAGAAAGCTATCTGCTAATCAAAGCTCAGGTGCATTCTGGTGGTATCTGTGCATTTGATTCCAAAATCTTTCCTGTGCTTTTGTAAATAGACTTGAGGATGTATCAGAATGCGTACGTGTAGCAATTCAGTTGCACTCAAAAGGTAATGAAGATGGCTGAGGAAAGATAATGTGTTTTGGTTAATGTCTACTGTAGCTAATTCCACCCCTTCATATTTTCATAGGTAATATTTAGCTAATAAAGGTAAAGAAATGTGCATATTTATAACAATCTTCTTGTGATGCAGCTATCTGTTCCCTGATGGACGAAGTTATAATCCTGATTTGACAGGATTATGTGAACCCACACCACATGACCACATAAAAGTCACACAGGTATGTTGCAGAGTTTTTCAGTTATTTTTTAAGCATCACTTCCCTTAGTATCCCATCTAGCAGTGATAATAAGCTTTTATTAAAATGTGAGAAATAAATACATAAGAGTGAAAATATGTTGTTGATGCAGGGTCTTAGATGAAGAACAGGGTAATAAGCCTTTAAACTTTAGAGCTGATGGTGATGCAGATGGTATGTTTTGGAAAGTTTTGTTTATAATAAGCTTCTTCGAAGTGAGAAAGGTGTTAACAGTTATTAAAGATTTTTCTGACATTTATGTTACATGTTTATGTAGCTTGGTGTTACCTTGCTAATAGCAGATGGGATTACAGAAATAAAATCAAGATCAAAAGATAGTTTTGAAACCTGAATAGCAGTGGTAGTTGACAGCTCCAGGAGGAAAAGTATAGTTCGTTTATCACAAAGATACTGGTTCCAGGGTCTCTCTCCTGTCTTCTTTGTCCATTGTGTGAATTAAAAGAGAGATGAGGGAATAGCAACAGCAATAATTATCTGTCTACAGGGAGTCACTTTCCAGAGAAAATTAGAATATCTAGTTGTATTTGTATTCTTGTTAAATGATGGTCTGATCAACTAATGTGCAGGTGTTTGATACTCAAGTAATAGGAAGTAGCCACCCCAAGACAAGTGCTTGATTAAAAATGGTGCTGAAATTAACACTAGTAGGCTAAGGTATACTGTGTAGGATATTTTTCCTGTCAAAAGCACCTGGAAGACTTGATGATATGTTCAGGGAAAGACATCAGATTAGACAGAAGCCATACTGTTTCAGATGGTCTTTTGTTTCTTCAAAGCAGACTGAATGGCCTTCTGAATCTTCTGTAATTCTGACTGCTCTATGTACATTCCACCTCCAGAAGTACTTTAGAAAAGAAGTATTCGTTATCACCTATGGCATTAGCAGGAATACCATTATGAAAATATCTGTTTCCTAAGTAAGAGAATTCTTAAAAAGAATTACCTGAAGAAAGTCTGAGTACTTCTATTTCTCTGACTTCCTTCTTTTCCCTCCAGTCTTAAAATAGTAATGAAAGAGTAATGCAGAGATATCAAATGTTTGTGTTGCATAATTTTCTAGTCCCATATCCTTACTTTTCCTCAAGGAGAAGAAAAACAGCTTAGACATTCTCAGTGATTACCTTGTTCTTCACAAGCCAATCATCCTGTGTTTTGAATTCACAGAATGAATCCAGTTGCCTCTGAACTTGTAGTTGTGAGCACACCATTAGTTAATTCTCATGGTAATTCAACAGTCTGAACTATGCGAATGCTGTCTTAAATAATATACAACCGTAGTAGTTTAAAGCTGTCACTAGAGCTGCTTAAATTAGGAAAAGATGGTATAAAAGTGGCTGCAGGGCTAGATTGCTGCAGATGGATTCTTTATGAGAGCTCTACCATAAGCACTACATACCGACTACAGCTGCAGATATGAGCTATTTCTTTTATTTTCTCTTTTTCTTAGCCTCATATCCCCTCCCTTTATTCATCAGTAACTGTTAATTTTCCTGTAACCTGGATTCTACTTATTTTAAGCTTTCAAAATTTTTTTTTTTTTTTTTAAGACTAAAAATCTTTGTTTTGACACAAATGAATTTAATTGCCAGTTCCTCAACAATACCTAATTCTCAAAAAATTTTCTGGACTCTAGTTTTATCTATTATTTGTTAAGGTGTTCTTTGTACCTTCCCGTCCGTCTTGTAAAGATACAAAGTACTGAATGATATGTGCATGGCTGTTGCCATGTTATCCTGAGGGGTATTCATGCCATATTTGCTTCACAAAGGTTGTTTACTTCAGTTAACCATACTACCATACTACATACTTGCTGTAGGTAGAAAAACCTCTTGCTTGTCAGCATTCAATTCAATAACTTTTACTAGTCCTAAACTTGTACCTAGAAAAGGAAATCCCAATTTTGTTCCCATTTATCCCTTAATTTCTCACTTAAAACCATTTATTTGTTATCTTATTCTTAACTGCAACCAAGGAAAAGCAGGATGTATGCCTTGCATAGCACTTACGTGAGAGGTTTGTGGAAAACCTAGTAAGCATAGCTATTTTAAACTTTCTTTTGTAGAATGCATTGTGGTATAGCACAGGTTTGAAGAAGCAAAATAGTAAGCTGTTTCAGTAACCTTAGTGTGGCTTTTAAATAGATCAGTAGCAATAGTTTCCTTGACTAATAAGTAAAGTGGATTGGAAAACAGGGGACTCAGAGAAATGTTTGCCGCTACTGGTTCTCAAGTATATTCTTTTTGAACAAATCACAGTAAAAAAAATGATCATGACTTTTTTTGTTACAGGAACAGTATGAATTGTACTGTGAAATGGGTTCCACTTTTCAGCTGTGTAAAATCTGTGCAGAGAATGACAAGGATGTGAAGATAGAGCCTTGTGGACACCTGATGTGCACTTCTTGTCTTACAGCGTGGCAGGTACTGTCATTGTTCGGTTAGTGGAGAAGAGGATGGATTTTCTTTACAGTGTGGGAATATGTTTACTTGTCCAGTTACTCAGTGAGAGGGTTCAAGGACATATATATATATATACTTAAAATGACAAACTTCTTCATTTTGTGCACCAAAATCTGTAAAAAGTAAAGTTCCAGGAGTCATTAAAATCTGGACTTACATGCTTGCCAAGGCCATTTGCTCATGTCTGCTAAGTGGATTTCCTGAGCGCAGTATCTACTCAGACAGTGAAAGCTGGGCATTTGGTGCCAAGTCAGCCACCAGCTCACTTCATGATGTATTCAAAAGGCATGAAGAATACAGGTAGCAGCTGGGATCAGTTAACTGACTAGACAGTGTTGTATAAGGAGATAAGTTGTCTTTGGTGAGAGAAGGATTCAGTCAGTAGTGCAGGTAAAGAAGTAGCCTGTGGCAAAACAAGCTTAGGATTCTTGTGTTTCATGTTAGTAATATGTAAAGCACTAAACCACCTAGCTTTAGACAGTTGCTGGGGTAAGAGACTGAATAGAGGGAAAACTCTAATCTCTCAATGTAACTGACAAAATATCGTAAGAAAACCACAAAGACTTCCTGGTGACACAGGTTGGTGTGTTTTGTTCATCTTGTTCATGGACATATCAGTCTTGGAAAAGGGAGGACTAGTACCTTTAGATCAGTGAAGTTAACAAGTGCTTTGGCTTACAAATGAAAATAAAAAGCAGAGGTCATTCCTCTTTACAACTTCTGACTTCCCATTAATAAGTGCTTCTCAAGCTGAATCAATTCTGCCACCTCCTCCCTGCCCCTTTCTTCTTCCTATATGTATTTTGTGGGGGGAAGAAAGGGTCATTCTGTTCTCAGGCAGTATTCTGTTTTTCCATTAGCAATAACGCTTGCCAAAAAAGGAGTATTCGTACATACTTTCCAATTTTGTGTTCTTGATGAAACTTGAGTTTGATGCTCCAAACACAAATCGTTCATGTTGCCCACACATCTGAAATTCTGAGAAAATTTCATTTTGGACATACCCAAATAAGAATATTTATTTCACTACTAAGCAACTGCTGAGCTGGAGTAGTATTTCTCATTTCAGGAGTATCCTTTCTTTGTTCTTAACAGTTTCATTCTGAATGACAGACTGAAATCTTTTACTTTTGGTTGCTGGGTGTCTCATTGCATGGTAGCGGCATGTTCCATGTTGTGCCATTGATGTGCTCTGATTCTGGAGACTTGAGAACCTAAGGTTTTCAGTACTTTGGCCAGTGGCTAAGGATCCAGGAAGAGGACAACAAAGCATTTTAGGCTCGAAGAACTAATGTTCAAAAACATCAAGCTTCATCAAAACATTGCAACCAACTCTAATAGGCCAGGTACATTTTGGACTATATTACAAAGTTAACTTTTGTATAATTACTGAGGCTATGAAGAAATATTACACTGTAACAGCATTAGCTGTTGCAAGCTTCTGGTGGGCTAGCGTTTAATTGGCAGCATAATTGCTCATTAGATATGCCTCAAGATCCAATACAGATGTTTTCACTAAGCAGAAAAAAATTGAGCAAGCAACATTAGATCTGCATAGAATCCTAAGGCTGATTGAGTTGTTCACCGTTATGGAGATCACTCTCTCAAATAAGACTTGCTTTAACTGTTTCTTTTTGTATTATGCAATAGGAGTAAAATGTAATTTTCTTCCACAGAACTCTGCTCTTGTCTAAAAACTGCATGTCTGGACTTCATTCTAAAAGCATATGGGCATGTATGCTGCATTGTAAGGTTCACAATAGCTACTCTCTCAGTGTCCTAAGTAACATTTCTGTGGGCATGGACAAATGTGTATTCATATAGACATGTCAGAGCTCAGTTTTAATTTCTCAGTTGTATTCATACTTTGGAATAGAAGTCTCTTCTGCTGTGATTGGTTACCCAATTTTTTTTGGTGAACTTAGTGCTTTTCAAAAGAAAGGAAGGAATCTGCTAGTACAGAACTACTTGAATTCAGATATAAGAATTCGGATAGAAGAAAGCCTTGAAAATTAAAAGCTCTGTGCCTCATCTGTAAGGCTGTTTTTAGAAAATGAAACTGTAAAGAATTCTGTGAGTAAGGGAGGACTTCTGTTCCCTTGACAATGATTACTTCAGTAGTTACATATAATTTGGAGACACTCTTTGAGGTAGTAAGGGGTGCTGACAAGACTGTGTAATTAGAATGCAAGGCTGCTGACAGTAAATTACGTGTATCTTTCCATACACAATGAAAATCCAGTACTAACCATGCAGATAGACATGGCTATTGTCAGGAGACATCATTTATAGCTATCTGGCCTTGGGATACAGTTCTTCCACAAACTGTAAAAACATCTGTCAGTTTCGTAAGACTGGCAAGTATCAAGATAAAAATAATGCTAGAAAAAGAAAATCAAAGCTGTCCTTATATCTGAGAAATCAAAAAACTGTGCTTGCTTGATGGTTATTTCAGAATAGGTAGGCTATTGAGAATTAATTTTGGTGTTTGTATCTTTTTAGCTGTCTATCTGCCTAAATATGACACAATGTGATACCTGAATTCACACTGAATTATCTTGATCTCTCAAAACTTCAGGATTTTTTTGGGTTTTTTTAATTCAAATCTCTGTCATGCCTCTCAAGACTTCTCTCTGATATTTTTGTTCGTTATAGCCTGAAATACTTTAAAGGCTTTTTGATTACTTCTGATGAGGCAAAAAATATTTCTGAAATGAGTAAAAGGAATGGAAAACGGCTGCTTGAAAATCATTTAACATATAATATCACTTAGAGGTTAAAATTCAAATGATTCTTATTTCTGATAACATGTGAAAATAGTTTCTTGTTTTACATAATTTACTGAAAATGTAGTAAAGTCCTGGATTGTTACTTAAACATGTCAAAAAATGTTTGTAGCTTTAGATGTTCTGTATGTGTATTGCTGAATGGTGGTAATGTTGCAGCTGTGATGGACTGTATATATGTTCTTCAGAGAGTAAGTGCTGCATGCCTTAAAGCTCATCTGCATTTTCTAACTTAAAATGAAAAAGAAATACTTTAATATAAAAGATAACATAATAAAATGCATTATTTTTGTCTACACACCTCACCTTCTTTCCTCTAAAGGAAGAGGAAAATCGTAATCCTAAAAGTCAAGGTGTTACTTCCTGACATGTAATACTAAGACAATTAAATTTTGGTGCTTTGTAGAGGTAATGGTTGCATTTTGATTAGTTACTTTTAAGTGAAGCTTAACCTTTTGATGACAAACACCTTTAAAAATGCAGTCATTTCACCATTTACTATAGTTAAATATCTAGGAATCTGTTTCCTGTTTACTCCCATGCTTCTTTACAAGCTCTTAGAGACCTGTTAAGGGCCTTTTTTGTTGAAAGATTTAAGACCTACTTTTTAAATTACTTTTTTTTTTAACATTTATGTACTTTTTTTTTTTTCTTGCTGTAGGAATCTGATGGCCAAGGCTGTCCTTTCTGCCGCTGTGAAATCAAAGGAACTGAACCAATCATTGTGGATCCCTTTGATCCAAGGGATGAAAACTCCAGGTGCTGCAGTATTATTGACAGCTTTAGTATGCCCATGTTGGACTTGGATGATGATGATGATAGAGAAGAGTCTTTAGTGATGAATCGTTTGGCTTCAGTCCGAAAGGTAAGTTTTCAAATACTTGCAGACCAGGTAAAGCTGTATGTTTGGAAGTGAAGCTGCCTGTAACTTTGAACAATGAGAGGTTGCACTTCGTGCTCTAGTTTTCACCAACTAATTGAAGAGTTCTTGGGTTGAAAAAACAGAATGCATCAATACTGCAGCAATAAGGGTGAAGTTGAATAGGAAGAAAAAGAAAATTCCAGACTCTCAACTGATACAAACTGAGTTAACTCTGTTTATAATGGAGGTAGAATGAGTTTGCACCAGCTGAGACTCTTGTCCAAAATATACTGTATGGGCAATTTCCTGAACTGTTATTTGTAAGGAACAAAAAAATTTCATATATACAGAATATATTACTAGTTTTCTGCAAATGTTTGTATATGCATACACAGAATGTTTTATGATTAAACTTGCATTTCTAAAGAGGTTATAAATATTATTGCTTTGTAAGGGTAACGTGTAACTGAATTTGTATTGCTTTTAATCATGTTTCATGTGAGTTGTCCATGATTTTTCCACCCCACTTTTATTTTCATCAGCAGGTTCTTTTAGCAGTAAAAGCTTATCTGAGATTCTTCATAGAATCATAGAATAGTTAGGGTTGGAAAGGACCTTAAGATCATCTAGTTCCAACCCCCCTGCCATGAGCAGGGACACCACACACTAAACTGTGTCGCCCAAGGCTCTGTCCAACCTGGCCTTGAACACCTCCAGGGTTGGAGCATTCACAACTTCCTTGGGCAACCTATTCCAGTGCCTCCCCACCCTCACTGTGAAGAACTTCTTCCTTATATCTAACCTAAAGTTCCCCTGTTTAAGTTTAAAGCTGTTACCCCTTGTCCTACCACTAGAGTCCCTAATGAAGAGTCCCTCCCCAGCATCCCTGTAGGCCCCCTTCAGATACTGGAAGGCTGCTCTGAGGTCTCCCCGCAGCCTTCTCTTTTCCAGGCTGAACAGCCCCAACTTTCTCAGCCTGTCTTCACATGGGAGGTGCTCCAGTCCTCTTATCGTTCTTGTGGCCCTCCTCTGGACTTGCTCCAACAGCTCCATGTTGGGATGTTTTTGTTCTGAAAATGCTCTGTGTTAAATTCTGGGATCTTCTTTCTTTGATCTTGGGAGATTTTATCTCTGATCAATAAGCACTATTATTAACAAAAGTTTATGTTGTTAGTTTTCATTACTGTACTTTAGTCTGGAATAGATACTGTCAGAGGCTGTGCAACACTGAATTTTGCACTGTATTTTCTATATTTTAGTTTTTAATATCATCATTAAATTGAATAGTTGCCTTGGAATTACTTCTGTAACATCTTACATTTTCATTTCCTTATTGTATTTGTGTTTTCTTGTTTTCTTTTTTTTTTTTTTTTTTTTTTTTTTTTAATTTTTAAGAATTGAAATAAAAGGTTGCACCCTCATATCTGAGAATATCTTTCAGGCCTGCTCTTGAGAGCAGTTTATCCTTCCTGCCTAGACTTAAATTGCAGTCTGCAGCCCAACCTCTGTGAGATAGCCTTGAATTGATGGGCTTTTATAGCACTATCACTTCCATGATAAGGCAAAAATGCATTATGCTTTTATCAAAAGAAGGAACAACAGGCTTTACTATAAGCAGTCTTGTTTTCAGTATCTACCAAGTGCTTGAGTGCTTTGGTGCTTGCTATTTTTATGTCGTTGGTTTCGTTGCGCATTGAGAGAAACCTGCTTAATTATCCCTGAAGTTTAGGAGCAGCATTCTCCACGTTTTGGTAGCCTCTTTAAGTCCCTACTTAAAAGTGCTGATTTATCAGGTCATTTAGTGATTTTTTTCAACTACTGTTTTCTTCTTAGAACTGTTACCAGTGGTTGTACGGTGATACTCTTTATCACACCATGTGGCATATGACATTGTTTATATACACTTCTTGTTAGTAATGCCTTCATTAGCCTTGTCTATTTCTTGTAATGCTTGTTTATTTTTCCCACTGAACAGTGTTTCTTCATAACCTTCTAGAATAAGTTCTTTTTTTCCTTTATGACGTTATGTAGGGTTTTTGAATTTTCTTTGTTAATGCTGTTAATATGAACGTGGTACTTGCGTAATGGCTATGTTATACTAATTTTATTTGTTAAACAGTGGAAGTTAGGTGACAGAAATAATTTAGTTCTTGCAGCCAACCTGCTGATACTGTTGTTACTTTGTAGTCCCAATGAACAATTTTTTCAATTCTTATTTTATTGCAAGGAATGTCATATGCTTTCTCAATGTAAAGCTGCTAATCCTTGAAAATCGTATGGGCTGATTTTGTCTCAAATCACCTGGCTAGACCATGTAGGTATTGCTGAGAAAATCTCTTTGTGGCACATCTGGCTAGTAGTTTGCTGTGATGTTAATCTTGCTGGAAGAGGAAAGTTCCAGGGACATAAAGTCCTGATGAAAGTTACTGTAAGGCTTTGATGTGTTGCAGAAATATTCAAATCAACCCTTATTGTCCCGAAATCCTTGCGGGATGGGCAATGTTAAAATGTTTTGAAGTTGTTACTACCAATTTTCACTATCTTTGGAACTTGTGCTTGGAAATATATTCATAATGCAAAGAATAGTTGCAGTAAGCTGATTTTAGAAGCACACACAGTCAGGTACATCACCGTTTGAGGGGTCTGGGTGGATTTTTAAGTGAGCTCATGACAGAATGAAAAACACTTTTTGGAATTATCATTAAAGTGTAAATAAGATACAGTATTTTATCACCTGCTATACCTGTGTGAATTATAAGTTGGATATCAAAAAATACCAGTTTTGCAGTTTATCACTCTGTCTCTGAAGTGTGCTCATAAACTGTGAGAGGTACCTGAATTAAGTCCCTGAGGGACCTCAGACTAGAAAATGCTTTAAGGAAAAGAATAGCCACAATTCTTTAATGCAATGAGTAAATGGATACACTTTGAGAGAAGTGAATCATTCTTGCTAGGTGTTGTGTGTGAGTCAGCAGCAGCAGCACATCAGCTGTAACAGAGGCTTTAGAGAAATCCACTGCAATTAGTCTGTGTATCTGCCTCATCGAGCATCTTATTTTTTTTAATTTCCAAATTGTCTGCAGACATTTCTTTATAAAAGAAAGATGAAGAGTGGTGCCAAAATCTCTTAATTGTCTCATCGCTGAGAAATTTCCAGCCCCATGGTATAAGATTAGCTAATGCAGTTATTGCCTGAAGTGTTCCTTTTCTCAGCTCTGTGCTGTTTGTGCTAGCCAAGCACAGGGTTAAGAAATGCACTTTAAAAAAACATTCAGATTACAGGCTCAGGTAAAAATTAAAAATTACTTTCTTCATTTTTGAAGAGAGCATTTGAGTCTCTAGCAGACTATGTTTATTATTCCATAATGTTTAATATTCCATTGTCCCAATTAATTTAGTTACCTATTACTGTACCTTGTACAAGACGTAGCTTAATACACATCTTTTTGAAAGAAAGAAAAGAAGGAAAATGCGTAGTGTGGGAGTTCTTGTTAAGAGCAAATAATTTTAAATTTGTAAGTGTTAAGATAACTGTTTGATCCAAATAATATTACATGAAAACATAGAGGAGGGCCCTAGCAGTATAGGAGACTGAGGTTTTCAATAGCTTAAAGTGAATTAACATTCTTTAAATACACTTTCTTCTAAAACTGACTGAGGTTACCTTGTTTGGGGAGTTACCGTCTTCTCTGCAATGAATTTCCTATCTGTATGCACCAAAACCTGGCTTCTATTCACAATGTTACTTCAAAATAGTTACAGGAAATTGTCAAAGCTGAAAGCCACTGTTTGTCATGATTAAGGTTCTTCCAGCAGGTAAGTCAAACTTAACAAAAGACCTTGGTTCTCAAAATACAGAAGGTGACTGTTTTTTACTCCTCCCCATCATTTCCATGTTATTAAATTGACTTTTTTCTGGTAATGTAGAAAGGCATCCATTACAAGACTTCAAATATATACCCAGGTATTCCCTTCATCTGTACATTCTTAACTCATTCATACATGTCACTTCCTTCTTAATGGTACACCTGGTTTGTGGAAATTTTTTAAAATTATACCATACAACAAGAGAGTCCTTAACTGCTTAATTATTAGTCTTTGAAAGAGGCATAAATGCTGAGAGGCAGGCTGCCTTCCTTGGTTAAAATGTACTTAACTGATTCCCCTAGGCAGTGTAGTGCTGACTCTCACAGCCTTAACTGCCTCTCCCTCCTTCACATGCATTTTCCTGGGTCAGCAAAGGACAGATCAAATAAAGAACAAACCCACCTATATAAAAAGCGTTTACATCCACCAGTGTTAAGTGATGTAATTTTATATCATCATAAAAAATTTTAAATGCAAATTATACTAATCTGTTTATGTCACATTTTATCCTAACAAGAAATAACAAATATTTGAGTTACTCTGATTATAAGTAGCAAAAACTTCAGGGAACTATTTGGAAATTAAAAGTCCATTTCTGGTGTAGGTCTGCTTGGACCTTCTTAGATATCTTATTATGAAATTTATAAATTACTGAGTTTGGTCCAGCAGCACATTATCAATCAGGATAACATTCCTCAGCGACTCACTTGTTAGGATTTGTGTTAAGTATGCTCTTCATGTGTGCCTATTTGACAGAAAGACATTTGAAGTTAAAGCTCTAGATTCAATAGCCTGACTGATAATATTTCCATCAGAAGAACCTTCACTAGACATTGTAATCAATGTCAGAAACAGGCTTATTCTTGAACTCACAACCACCAGGGGCAAACTGATACCAGTATATCCCAGTAATAAACACATCTGATTAAATAACACATGTGATTTGCTTTGCAGTACAATTGTGCAGTAAGTCACAGCTGCTTTTCCCTTGGCAGCAGTTGTGCCAGCCAGCTGAAGTCCATGTTGTTACAAAGGAGTCTGTGTTCTTTTCCTTAATTACATCTTTATTGCACAGGTCTGTGTATTGCAGCAGAGCCCCTTTGTGCACTGAAGGTCTGTCTTCTGTCACTGCCAGTTCATTTGTATTAGTTTGTGCCTTAATCACTCACTTGTTTTATCTTTTTGTCACTGTGCTGCTCTTATTGCTCCTTCATTTCCAGTCAATAGAAAATACACAGAAATCTCCAATATGTGACAAACAAAAATTTCAAATCTCTTCCTCCTTAGGGAGTCTGCCAGAAAGAGTAGGTATCATGTACATCTGTTAATGCTCTGGTACCCACATAAAATGCAACTGTCTTGTTGGTGTAGCTGTCAACAAACATCAAATGATGTAGCTAGACAGGTTGGACAGGGGCGGACAGGAAAAGCATGGGGTTTTTTATAATGGGAATATGATGGAAATACGATATTGAACGCTGAAAAAAACTATTTGTTGCTGTGAAATATTTAGATCAGTAGATCCAAACAAGGAATCATAATGTTGTGATAGCATTGTGGCTGTGAGCAACTGTAGTTCAGGGGTATGAAAGATTATTGATGTAAGCTAAAATTGAAGTCCTTTCACATACACACTACTTTGAAAAATTTCCATTTCATTTTGGCAGTTGTGATTTACTATCCATGGAATACAGTGGGTAGAGATAGCTAAATATTAAATATATATGGAACTAGAAGTTTGTCATATAAATTAAGTCTCTTGCTTCAATGGGATTAAAAAATGTGTCAGCTTTTAAGAATCTTGAAATTTTCAATGAATTTTCACATTATTCTGTATTTTGTTGCTGCCTACTACATATAAAGTGTATCTTTCAACCACTTGTTTCCATAAATCTGAAAATAGCATCAGATCTCACTGAGTTTTAGATGTGAATATTTCCATGATTTCTGTCTCTGCTGGAGCTGGACTGTTATTATGGCAGGAGAAAAGAAGTCTGACCTGGATGGGACCAGTGGGCTTACTGACAGATGAGCATGTCATTTTATCTAGTGATTCTTTAGAGTAGAACTGTGTAAGAGAAGGTTAACATATAGAAACAGTGATGGGTAGTCTTAAAATGCTATCACTACACTGTTGTTCATTTAGCTGTCAGTTCATATTACTACAGGCGCTGTGACATTAATGACTGTCGGGTAGTTAACTTCTGAGGAAGTCATGTTAATTAATGTGATAGTACAGCAATTAGAACATCTTAAATTCCAAACAAATGTTACCTATCCAATGCTCTGTTTTCAGTATTTCCTATTTTTCTTATTCTTTGTTTCCAACTTCTGTTACATAGAGGATAATTTCTTCTTCTGGAGCAATTCCCTGCTGACTGAGACACGCTACATTGTGCATCACCGTAAAATGTAGTCACTTACTACAACACTTTATTTTGAATAATTGGATCTTTTTGGAGGTGTGACCTGCTTATTTCGTTCTATTTCAAGTAATTTGGGAAATAAATTAGTTTTCTGTCTGCTAAAGCATTGAATATATTATATTACAAGGCTCTTGGCTTTTGGGAATGCTTGGTGGAGGTATAACTACACTTTGAAAACTAATGCTATTAAATGATACAATGCTTATTATGCTGTTTAACTGATAGATGCTTTCTGTTAAGGGAAACAAATTGACATTCAGTTTATAGTCATTGCATAATTACAGTTGCTCAAGCGTGCTTGTGAGATACACATCTAGCTTAGTTATTCAACTTTCCATTATGTTCAGAAAGGCTAAGCGCCTCAGTCATTCAAGTGTTTATCCTCATGGTGTTCCACTCAAGATCAGGGGCATCCACCAATTAAAGGAAACAAAGAAAATTTAAGGACTGTATTCATGCCATTTAATAAGAACATTGTGACCGCTTCATCGAAATGAGAATCTGGGTAACTTTTGGTAGCCTTGAATAGCACAAATATTAAATTGCTCAGTCTCTTGAAGTTGAATGTGTAGCTGTGATACTGACCTTACGTGTGTGGACCAAGTGATAAGTATTAAGTGAAAAAAAAAAGTCATTCTGGCAATGGAATGCCTTCCAGCATTCTTCAACACTTCCTTGCTCCTCTCTTACATTTTCTTGCAATGTTATCAAGTTACACTGTGGTGGCTCCTATTCTGGAAGGAATTTTGGCAGCAGTCTCAATTGTATAGAACAGAATACTAAACTAAGATGTAGGACACAGAGCACTGAGTAAGGAGTCTGTACTGTATCCTTTTGTGGATCTGCTTTTTGAATTTCTTTGATATAGTTGCTATATGTGAAGGAAGGTAATGTTGTTTATTTGTTTTCCTTTTTAAAGAGCTTCCTAGTCTCATCGCTGTCATCACTATGGGATGTACAGCATTGAGAAAAAGCTTACAAAAAGAGGGGAGAAATTTTGATCTAAGTGATTTAGCTTAAACATGGGCACATTTTTGTGAGCAATTTTTTAGGCTTTACCTAGGAAGATGTCAGATTCCTAGCCTCTATATGCAAGTGAGAATACTAGGATGCCTCAGTGCACAAGTGGCCTAAGGCTGATGCTTGGTGTGAATGTCTTCCACCTACTCATGTCTACTGCCAGGGAAAGCACTGAACAGCATAAACATCTGGGTTTACTTACAGTACACTGAAACAAATACAGTAAGTTCACAGAAAAAAACTTTAACTGGTTATTGCAAACACCTAAACTGTGTTTGTTAAGACTGAGCCAGATGAGGTTCAGGAACTAGTTGCAAAAACAGATGGAGTGTATATTGAGGAATGAAGTCTTTGGTTCTGATGAATTTGAAAGGATAAGTCAAGAGAGGGGGAAAAAAATCACAATTTGCTACTGGGTATGACGTTAAGTATGTGTGTCATTAGTTCAATATTTGCTAACATGATAAACATGATAAATATCATCAAATAAATAAGGAATGAATTAAATTCTTTGGCTACTGGCTTGCTGATGATTTTGATTCTAAGTCTTCAGAAGATGCATACATTCTGTTTTCTATCAAAGTGTGATCTGAAAATGGTCTGTAGATAGCAGAAAATATAGACATCCAGCTTTTTAAAGTCATTTATAGAATTTTAGATTGAGTACTCTCTAGTGACAAAAAGGTTATCAAGAGTAGCAGTACTACAGTAGAATCTCTATCTATGTTCGTGATTGTTTCCTTTTGTATGGCAGTGATTGCTTGCTTGTTAAATTACTGGAATATACTTTAATTTTCATCACAGGTTAACATGGATCTTAGTTTTAAAGTAAATGACTTGTAGACTTCTTTCTCAGCAACTATAAGATGAACACCTATACTGTGTATTAATTAAAAGAGCAGCAGATTGTCCATTATGATAAATGACTTTTACTAAATACCTGACAAGTATCAAATGTTTTAGTCATGCAATGGCAGTTGTATATTTGATCATCAGGTAAATACTAATTTTTGGTGTTTTTTTCTATCTTGAAGTGCAATGAAAGGCAGAATTCACCGGTGACTTCCCCAGGATCTTCCCCTCTTGCACAAAGAAGAAAACCGCTTCCAGACCCCCTGCAAATCCCACATCTTAGTCTTCCACCTGTACCTCCTCGTCTGGATCTTATTCAGAAGGGAGTAGCACGGTCACCATGTGCTAGCCCAACTGGATCACCAAAGGTGAGTCTTTTTGAACCATTATTTCTTTATATATGAATATTGATAAATTGTGCTTGATTGTTTTCAAGGTTAGCTTGCTTATTTGTTTTGGAAGATTGGCTGTTCTGAATTTTTCTATGTGTGTACTTACTTTTTCAGGATTTTACTCTTTCCAAAAGAACTTTTAATTCCTTGTAGCTTAGAAACTTTAAATTAGATCCACATTAAGTCTCTTATCTCCTTCAGTTGACTTTGGTGAATGCTTGTCCCTTTGCATAATGCATAGTCAGATGTTTACAGCCCCATGTGCTGGTCAAATGTGACCTCTCTTTGTCTGATGATTATGTTGTACTTGGTTATAGTCAGAATTTTAAAGGCATTGCTGTAATGGATCACTTCTGTAATAAATCCTGATTAATGAAAATAAATAGAAATGAAAGTTTCCTGAAAATAGATTTAAAGGTCATTATCTCATTAAAATTATATGTTGTGCTCTTATGATGATTGATACTCAATTTCCTCAAATGTGCAAATAACACTGCTTTCAAAACCTTTAATGGCATATATTCGGATGCAGGTTTCAAGGGAAATAATAATGACTCTATAGCTAATAAATTGTATGCTGTGTTTTATGAAACTAATGATAGTAAAGATTTAATTATTTTTTGAGTGGGTAAGCATGAAGGAGAACAAATACTATGTTGTTTGTTCTCTATTATGAGTTGATCATTTTGTTGTAATTGCTGTATAGAGAGGAGGGAAATAGATTTAAAATTTTCATTTTTGGATGACAAATTAAAATTCAAGTTCAAAACATGACTTTAATCCTGTGTCCTTGTAATAGTCCAGTATGAAGTACCCTATTTATTTTGTCAGCTTTTTACTTCAAACTTCTTCCTGCATCAGGAAGTCTGTTTTTAAGAAACATTCCTCCAAATTCTTTTCAGCAGCTTAATAAGTGATTCAAGGGATCAAAGTAATGAATTCTGGAAAAAAATTATGGGTCAGATAAATCTACCTCAGTTGTCTTTTCTCCCTTCCACTTCTTCCATGGGTTTCTTATGCAACAGCAGAAACGGGGGCATGCTTTCTCAAGAGGTTGTCTGCAGAATGCAAAGACAAGACTACTGTTTAACCTACTAACAAGTACTATTGTGATTCAATTAGAAATGGTAAAACCATACTTGATTGTGAGAGAAATATACATGTCTATAAGTAACTGTTTTTCTTCTTTTTTTTTTTTTTTAACTTGCTGTGTTGTTTAGTCTTCTCCTTGTATGGTGAGGAAACAAGACAAACCTTTGCCAGCACCACCACCTCCCTTGCGTGATCCTCCACCACCCCCACCGGAGAGGCCCCCTCCGATTCCACCCGACAATAGGATAAGCAGACATCTGCATCATCCAGAAAGTGTGCCTTCCAGAGACCAGCCGATGCCCCTTGAAGGCTGGTGTCCCAGAGATGTGTTCGGGACAAGTCAGTTGGTAGCATGTCGAATAGGGAATGAGGTTTCTCCCAAACCAGGACTGACTGCAATTTCAAACATAAATGGAAGGCACAACCGCGTAAGTTCTGATCCAGGATTTATGAGGAAACACAGACGTCATGAGCTGCCAGCGGAAGGTGCCAAGGTATGAAAAGAGCTGAATGTGTTAAATTCTAATTTGATGCCCTACTGCAGCATTGTCTTGCATTGGCTGATATACTGTTTGTATTGATCAGTGTTGATCTATTGTTTCTGAATATTTCCTGTTGATACTTATTATTAAGCTGGTCATAAATAAATGGTTTGTTAAATACTGTGATTTGTAAGGCAACTGTGTGTGAGGATCTAAGTTACAGTTTTAACATGAAATCTTCAAAAAATGGCTTGGAGAAAAAATTTGAGCTTTGCTATATTCTTTCAGCAAAGTTTCCATACAGTTGATGAATAATAATAATATATCACTTATGCTGTAGTACAGTTATATAGCATCTCAGACTACTTTGGAAGTGTCCTATGTTAAAATTGTGTAGGTATTTGCTGATGGAATAGTAAATATTCCAGTTACCTCTGTCATAGATGAGGTGAGGACTTGGCAACCTCTTCAATCTGTAATGTATGAAATATGTACAGATAATGTATACAAGTAAATTGTCAGATATATTGTATGCATTAACATAACAAGCTAAATACTCTAAAGGTCAGATGTGTAGTTTATTTTCAAAAGAGCATTGAGTTAGTCATGATGTTCAGTATACGCTAATCTAGCCTGCCTTGACCCTAAGAAAGAGGAAACAAATACCTCCAGAGCCAAGCTAAATGTAGAATCATTTATTTTATCTTTATCTCTGGCTATATGGGTAGCATCCTTGAAAGTGCTCAGTGGCACAACACCAGTATTGCATTGTTTGATGCGGTTATCATCAGTACTCTAAACATTATTGTGGATAATTAGCATTGCAACTCCCTTTGTCTATTGTTTACAGTATTACACGTATCTTTAGCTGAATTTTTCCTCCTTTGTACTTAAATCAGAACTTCAGTTGCTGGAGTTGTACATTGATATAATTTATCTGTAGCAGCTTTTGACTTTTCTAGGACAAATGTCCAGTGCAATGTCCAATAATCCATTTTCAGTGCTGAGTGCGTTCAGAGTTGCCACTTGCAAGCTTTCCACTGATTGTCTGGCTTGGTTTGCCTGGGGGGTATCTGCTTGCCACCCACAGGAAGGGTACTTTTTCTTGTCCTTGGTTGCAGTGAATAGTACATATGTCTGTAACTGGTGTTTCTTTTTGAAGAAAAAGAAAAGAAAGATCGTTTCTCTATGCTAACTGAAGATATCTGGGGAGCAGAGTACAGAGGGAGTAGTTCTGGCATTAGGCAGCTTCAGACAACTTGCAAGTCTGTGTACAGTTAGGGAGGCTTACATCTGAGAAGATGAAGTGGTGATGGCCTAAGAAAAATTCCTAATTCTGCTCTAATCAATTTTATCAAAGCAGCTCAGTAATTTATTCGTAGAGCAGGTTATTAGCTCAGAGCTGCTCATTATTTTTTTTTTTTTTTGCTTGAAGACTACATTGCTTGTGCTAAGAAGTAGCTAGAAATCATAACTTTTCCTCTGTTTGCTTTTCACAAGGTCACAAGCTATTTAACCTTTCTATCTCCATTTATTATTTTTTTTTTTATATGGATGTTTTGATTATTTTGAGAGTACATTACTGAAATTCAGTTAGCATTGGTAAAGAACATAAACATATATGATGAAAGGTGCTTAAAAAGTCCATGATGTTAGATCAAATTAGAATGTCGTTTTGATAGCACTGGGGCAAAATACCACAGTTTTACTTACAACTAAGCAATTGTTTAAACTGCTATAGTTTTTCATCTGGTTTTCAATGGATACTGTGTTTGTACCTTTAATTGCACCTTCATATAGCATTTCAGTTGTGGTTTGGCACTGTATTGAAGCTGATGGAATAAATACTTCTCAAATCAGAATAACCACTCATTGTAGAAGTGTCAGTATAGTCTGGAGAAGTTACGTATGTGTTTCTTTAAGCAGATGCTGTTTATACTGTCATCTTCAGGTAGTGTATCTAAGTTATTTGGTTAAATTGAGCAACTGATAACTTTGAATTACTGTTTCAAGCTGTATGCACATTCACAAGGGAAGCAGCTAATGAATTTTCATCTCCAATGCATATATCAATTGTCATATACTCCTTTTGCTATTGGTAAAAGCCAAGAGTCAGGAAGACAATCCTGTGGGTAGGACATGGATTTTGGCAGGCACTGTATCACGCATTATATTTAGCATGCTATACCTGTTGTTTTCCCACTGTACTTCATCTCTCTCACTTTGATTGATTTGCAATCTTGAAATCTTACTTTGCCTCCAAGCAGTTCAGCTGTACCTGAGTAGTCCATCTAGTAACCGTGATGTGAAACTTCCTCTTTTGGCAAAGTTTTAAGCTAACGTGTTCTGCAGCTCCCAAAGGGAGTGAGCTGAAACAAGTATGACTGAGTCGCTTCAGATAACAGCTCTGTAACGTGAACTCCTAGGAAAGACTTTACTCATAGTCTTCTCAAGGTCTATTTTGTAATACCTGGCTGATGAACATCTGTGGTGATAAACAGGAGGAGATACGCATTTTAACTCGTGTGATTTTTAGGTCTTTTCAAATGGTCATCCGATAAATGAAGAATATGATGTCCCTCCACGGCTTTCACCCCCTCTTCCGGCTGCCTCCATCATCCCTGGTTTAAAGTAAGTTAACTTTATGGAAGAAATGTGCTAATTAATGTTAATAGCACTGAATGTCTGGTGCTAAAAGAAAAATGAAGAAAACCAAAATGAACTAATATAAACTGGCGGTATCTTTTTCTGTAAACTTTAGTGTGATTTTACAAAGGAAACATAAATTGCATTGATTCAGTGGGAGCAGTTCTAATGTTAATTGAACATACTATGTTTTTATAGGAAGAGAGAATAAATTCTGGCAGATCTTGCTCACAGCCATTTGGCAGTGGGAGCACATACTGTCTGGTTTTGCTTCTACTACTACAGGTGAAGTGTGTTAGAGCTATTTGTCACAGGAGATAAGAGATTCTAGGGAAACTGTTAAGGGTAAAGAGCATAATTTGTGTGTGTTCTGCCCATAAGCCCTGACTTCCAGATTATGGTTTGGGGAATTTTGTCATTTTAAGTTTCAGACTACCCTTAGTCTTCCTTTAACACAACTGTTTGTTTGGTACCAAGATATTGCTGTGCTTAGCAAGAATCTTTGAGCTCTGAATCACACAGGATTTTCTACAGAACAGGAGATACTTAAAATCAAAAGCTTGGAAGTGCTATAATGTTGTTTGTCAATTTTATTTGGTTTTGTGAGCACATCTGAGCATATTGCAACGTTTGATGTTATCTTACACCTCTTTCCAAGGTACTC